GTCTTTCAAATAATCCACAAGCAAATAGCTCCATTCTGTAGATGAGAAATTATAAAAGACCATGTAATCAGCTGACAAAGGAACTGAAAACAAGCCCAGAGGAAATGCATGGCTGTTCTTACAAAGTCACAATGTACTGTTCTGTTTGCCTCCCACTCTCAAAGTGTATATTCCTGACATTTCTTTTCTTATAATTGGACTTTATGAATGAGAGCTGTAGGATGCTGTCTGGTGAATGATCTGAAAAGGATATGCTGAAACACAGTGGAGGTACTTGCAAAAACTGAATGCTAGGTTTTGTGTGGGAGCTTAAATAAGAGGCATAAATTAGAAATTAAGAAACTCAGAACCCCAAATTTTATTCTTTATAAAATAAGGGCTATTTTCTTGGTCCTTATTGGAGACTTTGAGTAAGTTTAGGTGATATATAACGTGGAAACTAAATGTGTAAGCTGGAGTTTCAGAATAGCTTGGGGTCCCCTGACTTCTTAGAGTTTATACCCTTTATAATGTTTTGGCAAGAAAAGAGGAGTTCAGTAATTTGTATCTTTTTAAATATAGCTTCTTCACCCCAGCTGCTCGGCAGCCATTAAAAACCATACCTATTAACATTTTCATGGCATGTTGTTCTTTCTAACTGCATTCAATTTCATATCTCTGTGGTCTATCTGATGAATAGCACCAGTTAGTCAAGAATTAGTTCACTGGAGAAAAAAATACCAATAAATAAATTTAAAAGAAATTATTTCTCCCTCTCAAATCAATAAATTAAAAAAATAAAAGAAAGAATTAGTTCACTGGGTTTCTGGAAATAATCAGTCCTATTTAATAAACAAGCTTTCCTGTGTGCCTACTATGTGTCACATGAGCACCTGCAGCTGCACGTTTTGTTCACATTTAGATGGGGCCACGACAAGGATTCTCTTTTGTTGGCAAAAATACTGGGGGAAGAAAAAAAGAAAAAAGCATTTCTGAAATAGGGCAGGCAGGAATCAAAAAGTAGGCTTGGAAACATTCTCCAAGGAAACAGGCCATTATGTTAATGGTCTCTGTATGTCTCTGGGTGGTAGCAGGGAGAGATTTTTTCCCCCTTCGTTATGCTTTTATATTTTCTAATTTTTTCTACAATAGGCATATAAAACATATAAATAGAAGTTAATAAAGTAAAAATCTTAAAAGAAAAAGAGTCTCCAAAGGACTATACAAATAAGAAAGAAATTCAAATGTAAATAAGTTCATTGATTGGTATAGTTGACTGCTAATCATATTGATTGACAGCATGACTCCAGCTACTTAATTGATTGTTTTGGGGGGTGTTGTTTTTTTTTTTGTTTTGTTTTGTTTTGTTTTAAATCAAGCATTGGACCTCAGCCTTTAGTAAGAAGGAAATATGCCATTCACCTTATGAAGGCATGAACTCTTTCTGGACTCTGAAACTTTGCCTCCACTGATGGAAGAATTCATGCAACACCCTGTCCCCAAAGCCGTCTTTTTCAAAGGTTAAGTATGAGATCCTCAGGAAAATATTATATTGTGGATTAATATGTGGCATTTACAAGTGAAAAAAAACAACTACCTTATCAACAACAAGAAAATGTAGAAAGTTCATCCACTGCCTTTTGATTTTACATTTGTGTGAACGTTTCTGCTGTTAGAAATTACTATGTCCAGTTCAGTTCTGTTAGTCAGAAAGCCAGAGGGAGCCCCCAGTGTATGAAAGGGTCATTCATCGAGGGCTGAGCACGAAGGTCCTTCATCCACAGTGAGTTATCCTGTGCACATACCCTCCAAGTACAGATGGCTCCTCAGGGCAGGAATTAAAGATGAAGACAGAAATGACTCTCAAACGGAATACAGTACATTAATTCACTTAGAAGGCACCAGGGTGTGTCTGCTTCACTGACTTTTCCTAAGGCACAGAATTTGGCCCTATTTCCAGTTATAGTAAATATGTTTACTCCTTAAAGGGTGCCTCTAAATCCCCCCAAAGGAGGGGCGTGGCTTATCACCAAATTCTAAATGAGCTGCTTGGTGACTGGAAACCACGTGGGGCCATTAGGGTCTCAGAGATACTGGAAGCCCAGTCGTCACCTTTGTCTTCACCTCCCCCAGGAGCTCCCAAGAGCAGGCAGTTGAGTTCAGGCAGTTGGCTGAGGTCTTCTGGAGGAGAGAAGAAAGGGGGAGGGGGGACTGCTGGGTGAGGTTGGTCTTTCCTAACTTTTATTAATAGGGAACATGTGGGCTGAAGCGAAGGCGGGGGACTGGGGTTGCTGAGTAAACAGGATGGGAAGAGAAAGAGAATGATGCTTTTATATTCTTGTCTATTCTAGATCCAGGGAGGCTCTTTAATGGAGATGAAAGGGAGAGACATTGACAGGAAGTAGCTTCCAAAGCGAAATGTGCAGACCACGGACGTCCTCTTTCCCCCTTCCACGGAAGGGGGCTGTGTGGTCCCCTGGCACTGCTAGCCCAAGTGCTAACTGGTTTCACTAAGGTTCTCCTCATCTGTGGCTCTGCTTCACGTCGATCATGTGAGAATCCCTGTTTAGACCTTTCACTTATTTCTCCATCCCACTAGTAATAATGGAGTGCTACTCTTTGCCAGGCACCGTTTCAGCCACTGTGAATACAGCAGTCTTCATTAACAGTCTAGAGCAGTGGTTCTCAACCTGTGGGTCGAGACCCCTTTGGCAGTTGAACGACCCCTTTCACAGGGGTCGCCTAAGACCATCCTGCATATCAGATATTTTTAGGATTCATAACAGTAGCAACATTACAGTTATGAAGTAGCAACAAAAATAATTTTATGGTTGGGTCACAACATGAGGAACTGTATTTAAAGGGCCAGAAGGTTGAGAACCACTGGTCTAGAGAGAAAGGTGAGTAATAAAGAATTACAATAGGCAAGTGCCAACTGTAACACTGATTAGACCCCTGTGCGTGGGAGCCTAGAGAGGGGGCACTAATCCAGACTTTGTCGGGGAGGGCTGATCAGGGAGGCCTCCCCTGAAAAGGAGTCCATGACACCTGAACTGAGCCTGGAGTTAACCAGCAAGACAAGGGAGGGTGGGTTTACGTTTTGACACGACAAGAACTTTGCAAAATGAGAGTAACAGTATCACTGATTAGAAAAGTCATGTTGCTCTGAGGGATGGAAGAGAAGATGGTATCCCCAAAGACTCTGCAGAAGGATGCTACAGGCTATAACACAAAGTCTGCTGGTGTTCCAGAGAACACCTCGCTGAGAGTCCACATCCGGAGGAGGAATGAGAAAGAGTGCTGTTTGCACCTGAAGCTTTCTTCCCATGATGGCCTATTTTTGTCTACAGCTCATAAATGCCTTTTTATGGAAAGGAAATAAAGACTATGAGGCAGGCAGTGCCCTCGATGGACCCCGGATCGGCCTCTTGCTTCAACAGTGTTTAGACCAGCCGTGGGCAAACTATGGCCCGCGGGCCAGATCTGGCCCGTTTGAAATGAATAAAACTAAAAAAAAAAAAAACAAAAGACCGTACCCTTTTATGTAATGATGTTTACTTTGAATTTATATTAGTTCACACAAACACTCCATCCATGCTTTTGTTCCGGCCCTCCGGTCCAGTTTAAGAACCCATTGTGGCCCTCGAGTCAAAAAGTTTGCCCACCCCTGGTTTTGACGAAACAGACCCAGGGGTGCCCCTTCTAACTTCCAACCACCCTCCAACCTCTTTTCCAGCATCACCTTCAGAACCACCTCAGAGTTCAAGAAAAGCCAAGCCCCATTTTTGACCTAAACTCCTTATTGCCAAACAACCATGAGCTCTCAAATTCATCAGAATTACTCCACCGGGATAGAGGCTGCTGTCAATCCCCTGGCCAGCCTGCATCTGCGGGCCTCCCACACCTACCTTTCTCTGGCTTCTATTTCGATTGCGTCCATGTGGTGCTGGAGCGTGAGGACCTCTTCTTCCACGAGTTGGCGGAGGAGAAGCTCAAGGCGCTGATGCAAAACAAGCCCGGTGTCTGCATTCTCTTCCAGGACGTGCTGAAGCCTCCCAAGATGAGTGGGCAAAACTCAGGCTGCCATGGGAGCCGCCCTGGCCTTGGAGAGGAACCTGACCCAGGCCCTTGTGGAGCTGCAGGCCCTGGGCTCTCGCACAGACTCTCAGCTCCGTGACTTCCTGGAGAACCACTTCCTGGGTGAGCAGGTGAAACTCATCAAGAAGATGGGCGACACCTGACTCACCTCCACAGGTTGGCTGGCCCCCAGGCTGGGCTGGGTGACTATCTCTTCAAAAGGCTCATCTCAAGCACCACTAGGAGCCTTTGGTACCCAGAGGCCGTTGAGGGACCCTCTGCATCCCCTGGTGTCTGGCTTTTGCCTGAGCCTCTCCCTGAAACCACTAGCTATTCTTTTAATTACCCCGGAGCCTTCTCCCATGCATTAAACCAAATGGAAACAATAAAGTTTTTATAGCAAAAATATATATAAATAAAAAGACTGAGGCAGGTGTGTGAGGGATTTTTCCATTTCCTTATCAAAACCTGCTAATATTTACAAATATAAGTATTTAAAGTGTCTCAAGTATGTTTGCCACATAATCTTAAAAACAGCATTGCTAGGATAAACTATCACATTTTAATTTTGTGTTGACATCTGAATATCAGGAAATTTTATCATTAAATTTAATTTTTAATACTATATATACATATGTCATAAATACTGAGTATTTATGAGTGCTATATAAACCTGAATCTTTTTAAAAAATATAACAAATGCATATGAATATTTCTATGATAGAATTTTAACCACAAAAAAAAACATGAGCAAGTATTGAAGAAATTAAATGTTACAGATTTTTTTCATTTATCAATTTTATTTCAGACAATTTAAAAGAAATGAGGAGAGTCCTCCAGCTCTGCAGTCAGTGCGTGGTTCTCCATCAGGTCTGAGATCTGAGCCCCAGCCAACCCGGTCACAGCAGACGTTTCTGCAGGATTCCTTTCTGAGCACCTTGAAGATGAGCATCCGGACGCCACCCACACTCCTGGAGCTGGCAGCAAAGCGCCTGCTGAGGGACCAGGCCTCGGCCATCGCAGCTCTGGAGTACCTGCCCGCGGAGCTCTTCCCGTACCTGTTCGTCATGGCCTACCGTGGTGGACACCGCCCCCAGCTACTGAAGGCGATGGCCCAAGCCTGACCCTTCACTGTCCTCCCTCTGGGGGTCCTGATGCAGCATCCCCCTGATCATGCACCAACCAGGGCCATGGGCTTAAAAGCCATGCTTGACGCGCTTGACGTTCTGCTTTCCCAGGAGGTGCAAACTGAGGTTCGGCCCAGGAGGTGCAAACTGCGGGTGCTGGATTTAAGCAACACGGGTGCCAACTTCTGGGATATGTGGTGTGGAGTCAGCACCCAGAATTGCTCACCGATGGGACCAGTGACTGTGCACAGCTCCAGCCCCAACATGGAGCACCCCTGGCTCCCTTGGAGGTGTTCCTAGACCTTAACTTCAATGAAAGGGACCGGGATAAGTTTTTCATGCACATCATCCAATGGGCCCAGCAGAGGGAAGGGTTGCTACACCTGTGCTGCAAGGCGCTGAGGATTTCTGAGGTGCCCTTCCAGAGGGTCAGGAGGGTCCTGGATAGGGTGCAGCTGGACTGCATCCAGGAGGTGGAAGTGCACTGCACCTGGGACCTGCCCACCCTGGGGACATTTGCTCTCTACCTGGGTCAGATGAGTAACCTGCAGAGACTCTCTCTCCCCGACATCGATGTGTTGGCTGAGGAGGATGAAGAGCAGGAGGAGGAGGGGGAGGAAGAAGAACAACAGGAAGAGGAGCAGGAGTGGGAGGAGGAAGAGGAGTTGGAGAGGGAGGAGGCAGAGGAGCAGGAGGAAGAGGAGCAGGAGTGGGAAAGGCAGGAGCAGGAGGAGCAGCGATCCTTTTCCCAATTCCTCTCTCAGATGCTCAGGCTGTGGCACCTCCGGGAGCTCCACATGCATTCTCCCTCCTTCTTCCGAGGCCGTCTGGACCAGATGCTCAGGTGCCTGCAGACTCCCTTGGACAAACTCTCCCTAACAGGTGCCTTCAGACTCCCTTGGACGAACTCTCCCTAACATATTGCCAGCGGCTGACGCATTCAGACCTGACACACCTGTTCCAGTGCCCGAACCTCAGGCAGCTGAAGATCCTGCATCTATTGGGCCTCAGCCTTGCAGATTTCAGTCCCGAGCCCCTCCGAGTTCTGCTGGAGGCAGTGGCACCCACCCTCCAGGACCTGGGTCTGGATAACTGTGGGATGGCGGACTCCCAAGTCGAGGCCATCCTGCCTGTCCTGAGCCGCTGCCACCAGCTCAGGAAATTCACCATCTCTATAAACAACTTCCCCGTGGCCACCGTGGAGAAGCTGCTGCGCCACACAACCGGGCTGCGCAGTTTAGAGGTCGAGGTGTACCCCGTCCCCCTGGAGTGTGACGGGACCCAAGGGACTGTCAACCAGGAGAGACTTGCCCTGATCCGGGCTGAGCTGACAGGGACCCTGAGGGAGTTAGGACAGCCCAGGACCATCCATCTTGGCATGAACCACCATAGACATAGGGAGTTTTATCACGTGGCATTTTCATGACATGGAGCCCGTGATGTGCCCCTGTCGTGACCCTGCTCACCAGGTGCACCTAACAAGGGCTTCCTTCTCGGCCCCTGGAAGCTGAAACCTCGGACCAGGGTGCAGTTAGCAGGGGCCACTCACGTTTCAGGTTCATGCTCAGTGTGAATGGGGAAAGGGAGGGACCCAGCCCGGGAACAGGATTGCAGGGGCAAAGGTTGGGGAGTTCGAGGGACCTCCAAGGCAAAGTGTCCTACAATCAGAAACATGAATCTATTTGCTTGAGGAGGGGTGGGGATGTGGGCTCAAGGTGCATCTGTGGGAGTTACTCCTGGGGTGGATGGTTGTAAAGGAATGTTCAGGCCCTGACTGGTTTGGCTCAGTGGATAGAGCGTCGGCCTGCGGACTAAAGGGTCCCAGGTTCGATTCCAGTCAAGGGCATGTACCTTGGTTGTGGGCACATCCCCAGTAGGGGGTGTGCAGGAGGCAGCTGATCTGTGTTTCTCTCTCATCGATGATTCTAACTCTCTATCCCTCTCCTTTTCTCTCTGTAAAAAATCAATAAAGTATATTTTTTAAAAAAAGGAATGTTCAGAAATAAAGACAATTTCAAAGGCCAAAAAATAAAAAATAAAATAAAAGAAATGAGAACTTTGTCAGTATAAAAAATTTTATTTCATGCCATTATTTCTTTTCAATCTGCTAGCTAAAAACATGTCCATATCAAGCTTTTCTTTCTTGATCCTTATTATAGTCTCCATAAAAATCATTAGAAACATACTGTCTCAAAAAGAGAAGCTGATTCCTCTCCTGTACAAATTGTTAGTTTTCTGATTGACTTTGAAAACCAAAACTTTACTCTCTTTGAGGGAAAATAATCTATTTTTCTAGAGAATTTCAATCTGTCAGTCACTCTGATAGACACACAGCTCCTACTGTGTTATTTTTTGCTTCAGCTACCATATGTTAAAACAAAATCATTTTTAAAGCTGAAGACAATTCAACATTCTGATTCGCTCCAAAAGTTCTTCAACCAGTGACTGCCAAGTTTGCCTGATATAAGACATTATCTTGACTCATTTTCTTCCAGTGTGTGATCTGCCCCAGACATGAGTTACATCCAAACATTGTCTTAGCAGAGAAGGTAGAGCTGCTGAATTTGGAACTCATACATGTTCAGTTTTAAATCTCACAGAAAGATACCTTTGGCTCCAAGACATGAAATGATTGAGAGGAAAGATACGTTCAGGAAGTTTTCACTCTTCATCATTTTTAGTCAATGATCCATTTGTATGTTGGCCAACAAGTATTGTTACAATGAATTACTATTCGCACAGGCAGAGGCTACAATCTTCACAGATATTTCCTCCTGGGGTCTAAAGAATTCAGTGCTTTCATCAAATGTATAGATTGAACTTAAACAGTTAGAGATGTTTTTCAGCAATTCTTTTTCACAGAAATAATTGTATGAAAAGTTGTTTCTGGATGATGCTGAAACAAGTATTCTACATACTGAGTTGTATACACGTCAGTCATCCAAAGAACCCAGACATCCGGCACTGTAGCCAAATTCACAAAGTTGCTATCCTCAAGGAAGAAACCTAATTAAAATGTTAAACAAGTTAGTAGAATAGAGGGAGATAGCTCCCCTCCCTCTCTTCCTTCCTTCCTGCTTTCCTGCCTTTCCTTCTCTATTTCGCTTTCTTTAAAAAAAAAAAATAATAATAATTCAGATATCTTTAGTTCAGAGCCTGTTGGTTACATGTTTTTACAACTCGTGGGCACTAAGCCCACTCTGTCAGCCGGGATCTTTATAGCACACCCATCACTGACATTGTCAGAAGCCCCAGGTTAAAGTGCTTCAGGTGCCAGAAAGCAGCAGTCTCTTCAGCATGCAGAGCCGTGGTTCCTCCCCGGGGGAGGGGCGGGGGGTGGGGGGGGGTTAGCACTGGGCTTTCCTGAGTCAGGCGGACGAACACGTGGCCCTCAAGTGGGAGCTTCTTTCCCGCCGTCGGGAAGTTGACATGTGAAGAACCTCATTGCCATGGACTTGCAAGTCCCTGGAGGTGAGCCTGTGCTTCCGGAGCTGAAGTGAGAGGAAAAGGTGGGTGCCAGGCCTCTAGTTCTCAGAATCAGCTACTCAATCGTCACCTGGGTTTTCAAAACCACTCAGATGTCTGGGTTCGATATAACTGGCCTGGGCCTCGGTACTTTTCAAAGCAGCAAAGCTTACGGGTCATTGTTTTAAACTATACAAATGTCACACTTAGGACATAGATAAATCAAGGTAAAGGAAACTCGCCTTCATGTGAGGTGAAAAATCAATCAGAAAGAGGAAATAGTTCTTGCTATCTCCCTTCCTCATAATTATTCTGTTGTCATTTCATATCATCAAATGGCCATCTATAAACCCACTGAGATGTTTAATCGCTTTCCTTGGCCTCTTTTCAGAGGCTCTGTGTCAGAAACTTTACCTCTGAGCAACAGCAAACAGCTGTCAGTACAAACTCCATGTTGTTTCCTTGCTGCTCAAGCCCCTCTGCGAGAGATGAGAAGCAAACTCTCTTCCCAGACACCAGTGAGCTGTCCCATTCGGAGGGGGCAGCCCTCACCCAGGTCCAGCAACTGTGGTCAGGCAGGAAGGAGGGGGCCCCGGGCCTCCAGATCTTCCAATTTTTCAGGAGAACTCAGAAGTCTTCATATTCGTGTGAAATCTCACCATTTCTAAACGTTGGCAAGTGATTCAATTGTGAAAAATCAAAACACATCTGTCGACCAAAAGCCAGCTGCCAGTTTGCAACCTCTGGCCTGGAAGGCTCTTCTTGATCTCACCTTCACGTGCTAACTCGTAGTCAGTTTTCAAAGCTCACTTCTTTTGAAAACCCCTCCCCAGCCAACCGCTTCCTCCCGCCTAGTGCTCCAGCTCTGGGCTCTAGCTCACGCAGGTCTCCAGAGCTTATCGCCCTGCAGGGAGATTGTGTCTATCTACCCTAATAACCGCCTGCTCCCCGAGGGCAGGGATGGTGTGTTGGGGTCCAACCCCAGCAGGTCCAGGGGTCCCCAAAGGTGTGGACGGAGACAGCGTTCAGTTGATCAGCAGCCTAGCCAGGATCTCTAGCCAGGATCTCCAGCCAAGTTCTGTCTTTTATTGTCTTGTTACATCTGTATTTATACCAGGTGATTTTAATCCTGTCAATTTCTATTCCAAAGGTTAGGGCGTTTCTTATCTCCATTCCAGAGAGTAAAGATTATGTAGCTTAAGGGTGATTGTTCATAGTTAAAAGTGATTAACTACCCGCCTGGCATTTAGTTAAGGGGTTTTATTCCCTCCCTAACTTCAGGGAAAAATCCCTACCTGGGGAAACAGCCTTTCTCAGAGAGGTGACCTTGGTTAAAACACATAGCGCCGAGAAGGTGAGCAAACATATTAAGAACAGTATGCCATATATGCCAGGTCCCTTGAAACATATGCTGTGCAGATGTTTCTTCCCTGCAGCGACTGTGTCAAGCAGCAAGGATGGACTGGCTTCCGGCAATGGTGCCTTAGTTTTCTTGTTTTAGGAATATATGTTAATCCCAGACTGGGTTCTGACTCAGCAAATAAATATCTATTAAATGCTTATGTGGGTATATACAAGAATTTAACAAATTCAAATTCTGGCCCCTCAGAAATACAATGTCATGGTTCAGACAAATGGCTCATCCATGAATAGTCATTGTAATGTAAATCCTAGTCTGGGGGGAATGAGAAGAGTGGTATGTTTAGTGGCTGGAGTGGGGCAGCGAGGCAGAGAGCTAAACCTCCTCCTCTACAGTGAGAAGTCACTAGTGGGCACCTACAACTGAAAATTCAAGGTGTTATCAACATAAGCAGGTTATATAGAAACAGGGAGGTAGATATAAAAAGCAGCCTCTTCGGAGAGGGGGACAGAGAGGCGAAGAACTATAAATCCATGGGAACCGTTTTATTCTTTAAACTATGGGCATCTATAACTTTGATACAAGAATAGAAACAAAAACTAAAAATGTGAAAAGAGTGGGACTGGCTTTTAGAGCTCCCTATTTGGAATCCCACTTTAGCACTTACCACGCTAACGTTAGCTTCTTAACCTCTCTGAGCCCATATGTTCCCATCTGTAAAATCAGAACAATGGTGGTCGTGAGGATTAAATGAAATTTAATGTGTAAGGCCCTTTGCCCTTATTGGACAGTTGATGGGAGTTTCCATGTCAGTTGGCTGAGGCTCCCACCCTCTCACTTGGCCATTGTAGGAGACTAGCAGCCAGAGTTTTTGCCCTGAGAGCAGAGTTCTAATGATACCAATGCCCACTTGTCTGACAATGAAGACTTTATTTTTTTAAATATATTTCTATTGATTTCAGAGAAGAAGGGAGAGGGAGAGAGAGATAGAAACATCAATGATGAGAGAGAATAATTAATTAGCTGCCTCCTGCAGGCCCCACACTGGGGATCAAGCCCACAACCCGGGCATGTGCCCTGACTGGGAATAGAACTGTGACCTCTTGGTTCATAGGTGGACCCCGGACAGGCGACAAGGGAGACTTTAGATCAGTGTTTCTCAATCTTCAACAAGGTTTCCTGCCTTTCCTTCTCTATTTCGCTCTTTTTCTTTAAAAAAAAAAATTAATTCAGATATCTTTAGCTCAAAGCCTGTTTGTTACATGTTTTTACAACTCATGGGCATTAAAACCCCTTTCAAAAGAGAAACAAAATAAAACACCAAACTCTTAGGGACCCATGTTGACTTAGACTATTTTTATTATAATGCTTCTAAATATTATATTATTATTTATATATGCATTAACTCCTTACATACATAGAACTTAAGCAACAATAAAATAAGAATACATTTAAGTGAAAACCAAATTTAAAAAAAACAGCCCTAACTGGTTTGGCTCAGTGGATAGAGCATCAGCCTGGGGACTGAAGGGTCCCAGGTTTGATTCCGGTTAAGGGCATGTACCTTGGTTGCGGGCACATCCCCAGTGGGGGGTGTGCAG